TTAACAATGATGGTGGTTGATAAGGAAATCCAGATCCAGGATGTTAATCCAAAACCGAACAGGTATTTTACGTACATGTATATATATTAGAATTCATCCTCCTGAACATAGTACCCATATATAATAACCGTACACCTAATCGCTTTATGGAATTCTGTCCCAGCTGACCTGAGAATCTGTCCCGCTTCAACCATTGACATCATACTACAATCACTTTTCCATTGTGGTGTCAGATATTTTGTATTATGACGTCAAAATTTTACGTGAACCTTTGTGATGGCCAGTAATTGCAAACAAATAGCAATAAGTAGGATTCAAAGCAATCTTTAATAAATCAAATCTAATGAAATATTCTTATATATATAGATGATCACATGACATCATGAACATAGACGTCGCTTTACTAGTGCAGAAAAAAAAGTTTTCAAATGCATCTATTGAAAATAAATTATTGCATGTCTTTCATAAGTTCTGCTTTGGACATAACTGAATAACAATGCCGAAAATAATGGAAGCATACATTAAGGTAAATTTCTTTATTTTTCACATAGCATCTGACAGCATTGAATGATACGATATGAATCAGCAGATTTATCCTTGTTTTAGAAGTTCAACGAGAAGTTATATATTTTACTTAGTTGGGTGGGTAACATAACATTTATTTTGTCATTATAATATAAAAAAAGAAGATGTGATATGATTGCCAATGATACAACTCTCCAAAAAAAGACCAAAATGACACAGAAATAAACAACTATAGGTCACCTTATGGCCTTCAACAATGAGCAAAGCCCATACTGCATAGTCAGCTATAAAAGGCCCCGAAATAACAATGTAAAACAATTCAAACGAGAAAACCAACGGCATAATCTATGTTTGCTCATCATTCATCATGAAAACAATCACATTACAAATCATTTTAGGAAAGCACTGTGTAAGCAGACATTTCAGGAAGCAACAAGTCTGTAGGCTGACTGTATATTATCTGAACAAGTTCATTTCTTGTCAACTTCATAATTATTTCAAACATTTTAATAGATGTCATTCAAATTTGGTCTATGACTTTTAGCTTAATATTCTTGCTTTTTCAAAGTCATGTTCATTTATTTTTCAACTGCGCCCAGAAATATGCGGTTGCCTTTAATTTCAGAAAAGGATTTAGGGTAAGGCAATCTGGGTTTCCCATCTTAAAAACTTCATTTAATGTTAATGCAGACATATTACTTGTTCCAAACAAAACCTTGTCAAGTTTTGGGCCCCCGGGTACCCCTTCTTTCTATAATTCATCCTACATCTACTTTGTTGCTTATTTGTTATTTGGTCTATGAATATCTGTCTATATATTGACAAAAAAGTCAATGAAACCACATTTTGATGGTCCCACAAAAATGTTGATAAAGTGTACATTTCATTTTTTTTTTCTAGCTCCTCTCATATGATAGCAGTACCTTTTTGGTCACTATTCTGTGTTGCGTCTAAATATTAATTGTAACACTTTAAAGTGACCGAACAGGTAAAACAAATACTTCTCAAGAAACAGAAAAGGAAGACTACTTGGAACAGCACCAGACTATGTATGAATAAAAACTCAGATCGGAATAGCATGGATGATATATTTATACATTTTGTACATCATTGTGAATAAGCAAGGAAAGCTACAATGTATTAATAATGGTGCATTTTTTTAAAGTTTATTGGGTTTTTTATTCATATTCTGTTAGAATTTTCACACAATCTGTCAAAAAGGCAAAACTAATTTTACTGAAACTTTCAAACAATATGAGAAGTGGTTCATTCACCAAAACACTCTTGCGATTCTGCAAAAAAAAAATCATGCATGATTTTGTGAATGAAAGGGGAAAGAAGATCCTGACACAGTGCACCTGAGCATGTCAATTGCGAACTGACCCAATAATTTATATATCACGACCAGTCAACTGATACTGACATTATCAGAGAGTACACATCAAAGGAAAAATGCACAAATTACCGATAGATTGTTAAATATGATATCATAGAATTAAATATGTTTTATTACAAAAAAATGTGTTCTCAATCTTGTCGATAGATATAACAGAATGTCATATCAGTACCAAAGACAACTCTCCATCCAAGTCACAATTTGTAAAAGTAAACCATTATAGGTTGAAGTACGGTCTTCAACATGAAGCCTTGGTTCACACCAAACAGCAAGTTATATAGTCCATATCAATCATGACAATTAACATAAACAAACAAAACAACTATCGCTTACTAATAATCCTGACTATATGTATTACATGAACTTGTTGCCATCAGAAATGAAAATATAAATATTCCAAATAACAAAAGCATATGCTTACACATGCAACCATATATAAAGCACTAAATGATAATACCAATATGAAGCTCTCATCTATAGAACTTACAAAAAAAATGTCAAGATTACAAACCGCAACAAAATAATAAAAAAATATAAGAAGCCAGCTGACAACATGTTCTAGAAAATTATTTGCATTTAATATTTCATTCCAAATCCATTACCACAAAACATCTTCTTACAGTTATACTACATCTGGAAATTAGTAATAACAACACTTAACCTGTACCTTCAAAACTAATTGCTTCTTCTAAGACAAAAGCCAAATGAGATATTCATCACTTGAAGTGCTCCAGCTAGAAATAGAAAGGGGCAGGGTGCCAGTGAAGGGCAGGGCACTTTTTTATGATAGGAAAAGGCACTTCTCATTTTTTTTGTCTACGTTTCTGTGTGTATCACGAGTTCACTTTTCTTTTACTGTATATGTTGTTAATAAAGAGGCATAAGTTGTTGTTTTGATTATTTACTCTATCAATTTTGCATTAGAAGAGTCATTCATACTACATGTTCATAAAACATGGCAATACACATTCATACATCAGATCACTATTAACCAAAAGAAGCGAAATAAACTTACTATTCTCCCCCCCCCCCCCCCTTCCCCCCTTGGATAAAGGCGTCCTAGAGGGGCGCAATTGAAGGCACCCAGGGTGCGGCGCCCTTCTAATTTGGGCTAAAGAGACCAATGTCTTCTATACATATAATATGCAATATTCTCATGTTCGAACGGCCAACTATAGTAGTCAGAGGCGGATTTAGAGAGTTTTGGGACCCCCCCCCCCCCCCTTTCGTGAGAAAACTTTGGTTGATCATATACATGTAGTGAATCACTGAAGCATGACTGGAGCTGGCCCCCTCTTACGAAAATTTCTAGATCTGCCACTGGTAGTCCATTTTGTCTAGCAGTAATCCTCAAAAGTAAATAATACGTTTTTCTTATCAACTTGATTATAACCTTGCTAACTATTACATAACTGTCAAGACACAGTATGCATGTTAAAACTACTTGCATTGTCATAAAGAGTAAACAATCATATTCCACAAAACAAACAAAAAAGTGTTTGTATCGTTACTTTAGCTATTACAAACCATATATAAATATTATCATATGTGACTATCAAGCCTCCTTCAATGATAACCCTGATTCACCAATACTACAACTAAAATCAAAAACCAGGAGAAAAAAGACACTATATATTCTAATGCTTGGAGTGCAAGATTCCAATAAAAAACTCCAAACCCACAAACCGCCAATCTCAATACATGTATAAGCAGCTAAAATACGGCAAGCTTTTTAGAAAAGCTATTACTTGTTATGAGTTAACCTTTCATAAAAGGTATGGAGCGCTTCGCAGTATCATGAATTAACGTCCACTTTTTTTGTGGTTCCTTTTCAGAAGATTTATTTTATTTATTTATTTATTTTCGGATACTTTTTCTTAAAATAAATTTCATTGTTATTATGCGACATGATAGGGAAAAGGGCTCCGTTCCTATGATCACCTATAAGTAACTGTGAAGGGAAAATGTAACATAAAATAGTTAATTCAACAAATTATTGATTACAATAAGTAGCTTATATTCGGATCTCCTTTATTAGACTGACATCGTTAATTCGACTGAATATTTCTACTCTCTCTAAGGAATTAAATTATTTCTGTGAGGTAAAAGTAAATTGATATTCACAACTTCAGCATCACCGAAAGTACACAGCTAGAGTAGCCCTTAAATTTGATGCTTTAGATTTATTAAACATAGAATGTTGACGTTATGTACTGTTGTTGTACGTTTTATTAAATTGCCGTTTTAGACCCATATTTTCCAAATTTTATAATGTGATAGTTTGCCAATTTACATTTAACAAATATATATTTAATAATCATATATCGAGCAGCATTGAGTAAATGAATCAGTGAACAGAGCAATCATTTTCGTATATTATATGTAATGACTGATGATATGATATTGTTATAATAACAACATACAGTATGTATTACACATCCTTCATATGAACTCATGTGAATTAAACTGATCGTGTTATACAGATTAAAGCGTAGGAAATGCGTAATAGTAAATGTATTAATCTTGATTATTAGGGCAACAATTTGTGATCTTATAGCAACAGATTCCTCGATCGGGTCTCGAATACCAAAACTGTCAGACATTCCGTATATATTTTTTTCTCTTTTTCCAGACGTGGTCCTTATTTTATAATTCATTCAAGCCAGTTAATTTTCAGCCTCACTGCTAAGCAACCAATCATGAATAACAGTTGTTAAGTAATAATTTTAAGATGCCGTGTGTATCGACTGAAACTGATAGGTTCGCACCATGATGCAAAAACCCCAAATGATGGATAAATACCTTAATAAGTGAGAAGGTATATGAGCAAGAGGAACCTAAAAAGAATATCCAAATGTATCTAAGTAAAACTTAGTAGGTTGCCTGTCCGAGAATTTTTTTTTTTATTTTGAATTCGCATGTCTTTATGAGCAATTTATTTTACAAAACATTAACAATTGGCAATATTTGTTTAAAATTGCAATGTGTCTTACAGGATAACATTTTGTTTGAATCGACATATCTACAATTGTTGAAATTTCTAATAGCATATTGAAGAATAGTTTATAAGTTAACAATATTAACAAATATAAGATAGTAATTCATGAACCATTTTAAGGGATAACTCATTGACCGGATGCATATTATTACTTTCGGAAGCAACTGTGATATCCCATTCATTTAAATACACAACTTTATGTTTGATATTGTTGAAAATCTGGAATAACAATTTATCCTGCAAATATCTGACAAAATCATATGGAACACCTTCATAATTCTTAATGTTATGTAATGTTACGCTTAATATCTTAGCGCTAGGCACACGATTCAATAATTGAATTATAGCATCTTTAGCGTTCCTTACATGTTCTTCATAAACTGACAATGGAGCAAAACCTATATGTACATACCAGGGCAGGACAACGATCGGATTTTTTGAACGTATGACCTTTAGGTGATATCTTGCAGGTTTAAAGTGATGTATTGTCGTATTAGGTTTATAAGTGAAAAATGGGAACTCGTGCGCAGCCCACGTAACACAAATATTGTGCCTCTTATTTTTACTCAGAGCTTTAATTGGTTGATGATAACCTCTTAGAGCATCTGAAGTCCGTCCAACCGAGAGCTTAAGATTTAAAATCTCAACCATTGACATAAGCCATTGTCGCAGTGTAGAATCTCCAACCATGTAAAGCTCCCTGTTTTTAAGACAAGATATATACATATTGTTACTGTGTTCAACTTTGTTTTGGCATAAGAGATTATGCCATGTTCTATTATAAAAATATCCCATTGGGGACGAACTGTTCCATGTGACTGAAGGATTTATTTCTCTGCACAAGCACTTTGGGGGATATATGGTTTTATCTGCAATAAAAAAAAAAAACGTTAATAGTTATTCAAAAAGTTTAAGGGTAAAAAAAAATAAACATGTATAGGCCGATTGCAAAACACCAAAAATCATAAAAAATATCGAAAAAAGGCCAATCAGAATCACACCACAAGGACAAAACCGACCGAAAAAGGTTTTCTTTTTTTCTTTTGGGTATTACTACAAACGAAAAGAAACAACTTTCAACCTTTTACTCTCTGATAAGAACTTATGTATTTTTAAGATTACTTTAAAGGCTATTTATACGGACGATTTAAGTGTCATGTCAGTATACTATTCACAGAAATAGAGTGTCACAGTAAGATCAAAATGTCTCAATAATTATATAAAACAACCATGTTCCTAGGTTGTAATGGACATGATTGATAGTTTTTGAAAGGATCATACATTTAGTTTGACTTTATTGCGTGAAAATTCTATTTGTATGCTCCCCGAAAAAAATGTTTTGAAAGTACAATCTTGTCAATCTGTCCGTCTGACTTTTTGAACTTTCGATATTTTTAATGGTCATGTCGGTTTCTTTTCAACTTATGAATTCTAACTGTCACGTTCGTATCTTCCGTCCCTTTTTCAATCGAGTATGCTCAATACAAAAAACATCATGATGTCAAATATGTATATTTAATGGGAGAATGGGGCATACAGACAAATTTGTTCTACTTAAAACGAATCATTTTAAATAATGTCAACATTGAATACTGATTTTATTCCCTTTCAAGTAACCCGTTTCTTAGCATGAGACTCACTGTTTTTTTGTTGTTGATAACTTACCACCATAAACATGAACTTTAATTTCCTTTATGATTCTATTACTGGTAGAACTGCAAGTATAAAAAAAAATTTGATTTTATGTTTGAAAAGAGACCACATTATTAAAATTTCTACGCCAAACGTTTCCTAGAGCAACACACAACATACTTAACGTACATGAATACATCCGACCAATCATTTCAGATTCAAAATTCATTGCCAAAACATCTATATTGCTAAAGGAACCATATGTAGATTTTTAGCAAAAAGTTCATTGCTCAAAATGAAAGACACAAAGACTAGATTGAACATAATTCCTTTTAGAATTATAAACACTGAAAAAGGTCTACGAATACCACTGCTACATTGATCTTGAAAGACCGAAATGTTGCTATGCACTTGGCCTACCTCAATGACATGTATGTTGTTGTCCCAGTAGATAAAGCCACAAACAACATCGTTTATGTGTAAATCACATTACATAAAGTGTCTGATAAGGGAATTAGGTATAGACAATTCACTTGTAAACTCAAAATATACTCCCACGACACTTATATTTTACCTAGAAGATATAATTGTACGATTGTTCTTCCTAGGCTTGTGTACGATTTAATGTATTTATGAAGGGTCCAGGCTCACTTTGCATAACATGGATTTTGCCTTTTATTAATTTAATGTATCTTTGCATATTTGAGAGCATCTACACAACAGTATAATTTCTCTACTCAAATCATAAAAGACATCAGGATTAAAGTTATCCAACAGATGTTAGTTATGCAGTTGATTGATGTTTTAGTAATAACCACAAGGAATATGATATATATGTTCAGGCCAATCAAAACATATAAAATCGGAACATAAAACAAGATAAAAGTAATTGGATGTGGTATGATCCACCAGAGACCAAAGCAGATGACATAAACAACTATAATTCACCGTATAGCCTTTCAGAATTGTCAAACCCCATACAGTATAGTTCATCACTTGATAACGCCTCGTCATGACAAAATTTAAAAAAAAGAAACCAACCGTCTGCTTTATGCTATAACATAATTAATGAAAAACAAATATGGCAGACAACAACCGACGACACCAAGTGAATAACAGGATCCTTACTTTGGACAAGATCATAAAGAATGATAAACATGTTTGTGAGCACTCAACCCTCCCCTAACCTGGGACAGCTATGAAACAGTACAACATAAGAATATACAGTAAAAATCAGTTGGAAGTGTCGACACGTAAGATCAGCACGAAGGACCCAAACAAATATCAAGTACCAAAGAAACCCACAACGGTACCGCTGAATCAACCACGATTTCCACGCCTAAAACATGAATAATTATACATCTAATGGATCAAGTGTAAACACGTCATAAACAGTTTGAAAAAAGAATGACATTGTACAGTGCCTAAATATAAATATCGACAGGATGTAGGACCATAATAACATTAACATGTCTCGAGCTCGTCAGTGTTGCTCAAGGCCACAATACTTGAAAATCCAAATTTTTTTTCAAAAATTGAAGAGCTTATAAACCAAATCAAAAAGACAAAATGTATAGACAAAGCAGGACTTGGAATCATAGCTTTGCATGAGGTTCATAACGGTACAGAAATGCATATTTAGTTTTGCCTTAATTATTAAAATTAAAATCAATGTAAGTACCGATGAACCGTGTTTAATTGATTACCCTTCTGAATAAAGTTTTGAATTTACGGGATTTGTAAACAGCATCACAGTTAAAATTATGATGTGATATTACGTGTATTATAATGTTTCTTCGGGTATAGTCAAACTTGATAATCACATCTTTACATCTATTTAAAAATTTAGTAAAGCTCTTTATAGTAATTTTAGGTAACGAAACCCCGACGTAATAATTCATCAATTATACATAGATTACATTTATTGAAATCTAAAATGAAACTACAGAAACGGGCATAACAAACGAGTATGGAAATATACACACCGAAAGAAGGGACAAAAGGAACACCATTGTAATGAAAGAAAGAAAAACAATAACGAAAAATTGTCTCTTTTGTTGTCACTTTTTGTTTAACATTTCCGGCATGAAACCGAATTTTTCAAATATAAAAAGGGACAAATATTGCTGTTTATATTATATTTATTCAAAATAGTTAAGTTCAACAGTATAATTTAGAAATTAAAAGAAACAAAATTGAAATTAGGAATTTTCAGAAATATTGTAGCTAACATTTATTTCCTTTCATCCTTTTTATAAGGTTTTATTTCAGGAGAGACAATAAACTACTTTCGAATTATGTCCTCCACCGGAAACGTTCGTCAATTAGGCGCGCCTTTATGACGTCATTTACCAGATAGAGTGGGTCGCCTGTATCCATCCACTATTAACGCTCGTCAAGCATCTGCGTGGTCGTCATTATGCCGGATAAACTAGAAACAATGTACTTAATCACAATTATGAAATGACAGCAGTGCTGATTATCAATTATAGGAATTTAATTTGCCGAATAATTTGTGCAATATAGCATCATATTTTTTTCAACCGCTCGCTCAACAAGGGAAGGACGTAACGATTCCCCTAAGCTGGTTCTATTTTTGTGGCACTTAAATTAACAGCGTTAAAGATAAGTAATGCAATATTTCGGTTTAAGGAAAAGAAGATCAATATTGTATCGAAAACATTTCCATTAAAGATAGAACATTGATTAAAAATAAGATATATTACCTTAAGAAGTGCTTCTGTGTCTTTGAAAGTGTCGATATAGTCGGATCTCCTATTGGCGCATACCAGTCGGTACAAGTAAACCCGGCTGTATCTGGTAATGAACAAAACCATCGCATTCCATAATTTAATGATGTAAAGTCACAGATGCCGTCTTTTGTCAGTGTGTGAATCCCACATATACCTTTACCAGTTTCTCCACGAGCATTCTTAAAAACTCCTTTTAAAGTCCGCAACATTCCATTCCTGTATATGTGGTTTACAAATAATCCAATAGATTCTCTTGGAAATGGCAATAAAAGTGTGATGTGCGGTGATCCGCTCCATAATGCCTTTATCACTCCGATATATGTACCATTACCATGATCCACTACATATCCAACTGAACCTGCGCCTTTCCCTTTCTCAGACATCCAGATTTTTATAAATTCACCACCATCAGTTACAACGTCACCATTTTCATTATGGAGGATTATTCTAAGTGTTATAATGTCACCGGTAGTAAACGTAGCTGATTTATTGTTATATATTTCTACTGTAGATTTTGGCAAATAAACAAGAGATTTGCCGAATTCTACGTTTTCAAAGCTCATATATCTTTTATAATACTTGAAGTCAGTAGTTGTAAAAGTTCCAATTTCTTTTTTGTATCCAAAATACCCAAACTGGTAGCTGAAATTATATATATATATATTTAAAAAAGGAATAAGAGTTCCAAACAATGATTCATTCAAAGAAAAATAAAAGTCGGAGTAGCACTTCAAAAAGGTTTTAGCAATAAGAAACAATAAAATGTTAAATCATAAAGTCCAACCAGTTTCACTTTCACTATTAATAATGAAATTAAAAAAAAAACTGTTCACGTCTTCAATCATTTCAGAAACTCATTTCCTGAATCACGAATTTCATTTTTAAATTATAATTTGAAGTTTTCTGTCTCCCTTTTTGGGACGTAGAACTGCTTCATGGCAATGAAGCTCAATTAAGAGTCAGGGGTTAGTGGTATTTTTTCCTTTTGATTTAAAGATAAAATTTGGTTTACATAAATATAAAATTATATCAATAGTTACGCATTTTTTTCTATTTTACTTTAAATCGTTCCTCTGCACTGCAGCGAACCAGTATTCATACTAGTACACTTGGCAACAAGGGAAATAACTCGTATTTAACAGTAATTCTTAATCGTTTCGGACTTAAGAAAGTTAGGCTCGAGAAAGTCCTTTATAGATGTGACGTTGAAATTCTTATATGATTTGCATATTTACAAATACTTGAATCGGATTGGTCCGTTGGATTTTGTCCTTGGTTGTTTACACTTCGATAAACTATATGTTACCGAACTATTTTCTTAACCTTCACTGTGATCTATTAATGCGCCATACGCATGTATGTGATCCAGGGGTTCTAGCCAAACTGAGTTTAAAAAACAAATACGTAACTATTATTTCTTTTTGCAACTCATAACAAAAGAAATAATGCATACACGATTGAAAAATGCATGAAATTATAATAAAATACAATTCTGCGAAATTATTGCGTATCTTGTACGCTTAAAAATTTCGAATTTCTCATTAAAATGAAGTGTTTGAGGTACGTATTATTTCATTTTAGATTCTACAACATTAATCGAATATTTATTGATTTCAAAAATTCAATATGGCCGATAACTCCTCAGTAACGACATGTCTAGTTTGTATTTGATGGTAAATAGTAGCTTACTAACAAAATAATGTTAGGCCTAATTAAAAATTGGGTATTGATGACCTAAGGATTATGAGGACTAAACACATTTTTCTAGAGGTTATTGGTGTGTAAACTGGTTCGCTTACTCACCAACTTTAAATAAATGTGTTAAATACTATAGCAATAGTATGTAGTAACAAGAGAGGTTACGTTATAATAAACACGGTCTTGTAACGTTCTATTGTCGTCAAGTTATCCCATAATTTCTTTCTTGTTCTGTTGCATCATCAGCACATTGAACAATTTGGAAAATTTTAGTAGTGAATTCTGATTGGCAGCACAAACGTCTAAATTTTCAATACCAGTTGTTAGTTTATAGTCCATGTTTCTGATATGTTGTCTGTGTAATGTCACGCGTTTGCGAAGTGACATGCCTGTCTGTCCTATGTACACTACATTGTATTACATAAATCAGATTACCGGATGCACAGTTGACATCATTATTTATTTTTTATGCAATATAGATGTTGAAGTATGTGTAAGGCATTATACCTAATTGTATAAAATAATTTGACTAGCGATTCTGTATGTTCAGTGGTTGTCGTTTGTTGCTGTATATCATATTTGTTTTTCATTTATTGTTTTGTACATAAATCAGGCCGTTGGTTTTCTCGTTTGGATTGTTTTACATTTGTTATTTCGGGGCCTTTTATAGCTTATTATGCGGAATGGGTTTGGTTCATCTTTGGAGGCTGCACGATGACCTAAAGTTGTTAACTTCTATTTCATTTTTGTCTCTGGTGGTGATTTGTCTATTTAGTAATCATACCACATCTTTCTTATTATTATAGAAACTGTAAATAAGCATCGAAAGGGGCGCTTGCGTCAGAATGAGTACCTTTCAGAATTTAACAATTACAATACGTACCCGAACAATTTCATCGTTGCAAGGTGGATTATTAGGACTGAAAATAACAATGAACATAACACACGTTTCTTATCTAATTTCAATGTAGTGCTGAATCTGAAAAAAAATCTTTTGAATTTAATTAACTTGATCTGAGATGAAACGATATGAAATAACAATAATGACAATTTCGATCAAAATAAATGTCGATTGTACAGATCTATCAGTTTATAACAAACTGTGTTTAAACTTAAGATAGCTATAAGAAGATGTGGTATGAGTGCCAATGAGACAACTCTCCATCCAAGTTACAATTTGTAAAAGTAAACTATTATAGGTCAAAGTACAGCCTTCAACACGGAGCCTTGGCTCACACCGAACAGCAAGCTATAAAGGGCCCCAAAAATGACTAGTGTAAAACCCTTCAAACAGGAAATCCAACGGTCTAATCTATATAAAAACGAGAAACACTTATGAACCACATCAACAAACGACAACCACTGAACATCATGTTCCTGACTTAGGACAGGTGCAAACAAATGCAGCGGGTTTAAACGTTTTAAAAGGCGACAACCTTCACCCTACCTGAAACAATAGTGTAACATAACAACATAGAAAGACACACTGTAAAATATCAATTGAAATGGCTTAACTCAATCAAAAGACATATTAACAAAAACAAGTGAACATACACTGAATGAAAAAAAATGATCTATGACAAATGTAATTACAACATTAATAAAACAAGGGGTCAGATGTAAAACAATATCAGAAAGACAACCATAACCTTGGACAAAATGCAGCCAAATGAAAGAACGTACACAGGTAAACATTTGCATTCATAGATATCAGAATTAAAATTTTATACCCCATACGCACTTTTCGTCTAAAAACGATTCATCAGTGGTACCCAAATCAACAAAGTGAAAAAAAGTGAAATAAAGTACGAAGTGGAAGAGCAAATATGAGACTGAATGGTAAATTATTGCTGAAAACTCTATTTTTTATTTGCTCAGTCAATACAACGCTACGAGGCGTCGAGAAAGGCTAATGTCCTTATTGTTTTTTTTTTATAAATTCAATTTAATTCTTGATTTTTTTTACGTCCCTTTCATATTATCTAAATCAAATTATTATTTTTTTCAGACTATTGCTTTTTTATCACAAAAGTTGGCCTTACATCACGACATTGAATATTAATATTAAAAATATTCACCGACTTCATTTCCAATTTCATACTTTTTGCAAACTGAAATAATTGCAGAAATGCCAACCTGTGAGACAAAGTATGCTTCTTCCATAAGGTATGCATGGAGAGGAAACATGATAAGGTCCTACTTAATAGTGGTCGATTTGCTAAAAAAATCCTTAAAAAAATCTAAGATGGTCTATATTGTACAAAAAAATAAATCTTTCGTTGTTAAATCCAGTTTGTGGAGAAAAGAAAAAATTAAATGTTTAAACAAACAACAACATTAATAAATTGGCCTGTTTATCATGTAAAGAAGCTATAACAAAAATCTACTTCTGTTTGTACTTTCTATTTTAGGTATTGACTTTTAGCTTTTCTGTCGTGTGCAAGTCAGTTATGCTGACAAGTACATCTCACTTGAATAGAGTTAATGGCCTGGAAATGAAGAGTGCATAATAAAGAGCTCCCTCTAGAACTTTATAATGACAATTGAATAATAATACTATTTAAGAAAATTTGTTATCTTACATCTCGTTGTTCTTTTGGGTCTGCATTTTAAACTGAAATAATATGAAATATACTATATGAATAAATGGCATGCAGAATAACGGAAATGAAATTCATTAGAAAATAACAGATTAGGTCACCAATTATGTAAACGAAGAAGATTATCTTATAAAGAATATAAATAACAAAGTAAGAAAAGGAAAACATATAAATATATTAAGATAGACTAGAACTTTTCTGATGTGTGTTTTGTGACAATTTGCTTTAAATTATAGTATTTATTTTCGGTTTTCTTTCTTACTCGTTTTATGTTGTCCTGTCCGTTTTTAACTGTTATCCTGTGCGTTTTATTGTGTTGTCCTGTCCGTTTTATATGTATATTTTATTGTGTACCGTGTTGTTTTTAATTACGATCTGTTGTCGGCTTTGTAAGAATGATTTCTGGAGTTACTAGTAGCTATGGAAAGAAAGATTGTTATTTTGTTGTTGTTAAATAATTGGTTACTACTGTATCAGTAGCCGAGGCTTAAACTAGAACGCTCAAAGCCAAATATTTGAAAGCCAAGGATGTATAAGAACCGGAATAGTTATATGATCAAAGAGGAACTAGAAATAATAGCCAAATAATATCTTAGGTCAACTTTGGCTGAAGGAGTTGAAAATTAGTTTCTTTATAATTACTAAAAGAGAGACGAAAGAGATCAAAGGGATATTCAAACTCGCCAGTCGAAAACAAGCTGACAATGTCATGGCAAAAAACGACGAAAAGACAGACAATAGTATACAAAACACAACATAGAAAATAGACTGAGCATCAAGAACTCCACCACAAACCAATGGTGATCTCAGGTGCTCTAGAAGGGTAAGCAGATTCTGCTCCATAAGTGTCATCTGTCGTGTTGCTCATGTTAGTACACATTTATTAACGGACAATTTAAGTAAGCCTTTTTAAACTGATTTTTATGATTTGTTCTTATGGTGTACTGATACACCATTGTCCCAGGTAAGGTAGAGGGTTTGGCACCAGCAAACATATTTAATCCATCCACATTGTGCATGTGCCTGTCCCAAGTCAGTGGTTGTCGTTTGTTGCAGTATATTATATTTACTATGCAATATGGGTTTTTACGCATTGTTGAAGGTCGTACTGTGACCTATAGTTGTTAACTTCTATGTCATTTTCGTCTCTGGTAGAGGTGGATTTAATTGGTAATCATGCCATATCTTCTTGATTTTAAAATATATTTAAAAAATATTTGTTATAAACCATGTCAGTACCGAAGTTATGACTACTGAGCTGAAGATGATACCCTCGATGTCCAGCAGTGTCGACCCAGTGAAGTGGCAAATGAGAAAAAAACACTTTGTAAATTGCATTCGTCCGACGCGCCTTTCATGATTTACTCTCTTCATGAACGCTCTTAGCCTTCTTTTTTTATTCCACCAAAAGGCAGCTGCAATATTTGTTTATATTTGTGACGTCACTACTACAATACTGTTTGCATTTGGCATCAGTATAAACACAACTCACATGTTTAACAGTCAAACAAAATACAATTGCTGAGTATTCATGGAGAGAGAATTTGATAAATATAGGTTAAGTTTTAACTTCAAGCCAAAATATAAGGCGCAGGAAATTGTGTCGCTATGTTATAGCCGGGTCAGTATCACAGTTATCATATTAGTCAGCTGATCGAATCCTTACTTGAACAGAATGTTGCGATAGTGGAAATTGTGAGTATGATACTGATAACGAAGGAATTATTTTGTTTGTATTCCTGACTGCACGTCGCTTAATCAACTATTGACATGACCCTAGAAAACTGTCGATGGGCAAGTAACCCCGTTATAATCATAGACATAAACAGTCAGTTAAGCATAAATACAAATAGACAACAGTATAAGATCAATTTTCTTAGTTCTGTTTGATCTCATTTACGATTAAATCTTATCAATGTAAATCATTACTGATAACTTTTATAATATAAAAATAAGAAGATACCTATGAGACAACTATCCACCACAGTTCAAATGAAGTGGATGTATGCAATTATAGGCAACCGTACGACCTTCAACAATGAGAAAAAACCCAAACTGTATAGTCGGCTATAAAGGCCCCGATATGAAAATATGAAACCATTCAATTGAGAAAACTGACGGCCTAATTTATAACACAACAATTTAAGAAAAATAAATATGACAGACATGAACCATCAACAAGTACTGAACTACAGGCTTCTGCCTTGAGACAGGCACATATAGAATGTGGTGGGGTTAAACATATTTGAAGGCGCAAAATCTCCCCCTAGCCTAGGACAGTGGTGTAACAGTACAACATAACACCAGATTATAAAAATCAGTTGAAAAGGGCTTACTTGTTTTTGTGCTTTGTATCGAGGAGTTAAGCCCTTTTCAACTGATTTTTATAGTTTGTTCATATGTTGCACTGTTACACCACTGTGCCAGGTTAGGGAGAGGGTTGTGCGCACACTAACATGTTTAACCCTGCCACATGCTGTATGTGCTTGTCCCAAGTCAGGAGCCTGTAATTCAATGGTTGTCGTTTGTTGGTGTTAATCATATTTGATTTTCGGTTGTTATTTTGTACATAAATCAGGCCGCTAGTTTGAATTGTTTCACATTTGTCATTTCATGGACTTTTATAGCCGACAATGCGGTATGGGTTTTACTCATTGTTGAAGGTCGTACGGTGACTAATAGTTGTTACATTCGGTGTCACTTGGTCTCTTATGGAGAGTTGTCTCATTTGCAATCACACCAAATCCGCTTATTTTTATATTAACTCATCAGACTGCTTTTTTGGCGTGTTGAATCAATCAACGAAATCGGTCTTTCAGCTACTGCCTTTCCCATTATGTATCGTCGGCACTGGAAATTGAGTACCACCGAAGCGGATAAAAAGAGTACCAAAAAAAAACAAATTAAGAATTTCTTTTATTTTAATCATTTCTATAAATGTGGTGAGGTTAACCCGTATGAAAAGATTTTCTTACATGTAATGCTCTATTCTTAAATAGACAAAGACAATAGTTTGTGTTGTTCTCCAAAACTGTGCACTTTGTACCTGAAAATTTAAGGCAGGTTGTCCTTCGTCGCCCCGCTTGCCAGATATTCAACTGTTTTTCACTATTTTTCGAGACAAAGTTTAATATAATGACAGCGTGTTTTATATTCTCCGAAATTGTTGACCAAAAAAATGTTTTCTAAAGACAAATAGATCAAGACCGAAACATGTTTTATTGATTGTACGGTGACTTCCGTGGTGGTGTATTGCAGAATAACAACTTGTTTTCTGTACGGTGTCTTGCAATATACTATGATTGCCAATGAGACAACTCTCCACCAGAGACCAAATGACATAGAAGTTAACAACTAAAGGTCACCGTACGGCCTCCAATAATGAGCAAAACCCATACCACATAGTCAGTTATATATTTAAAAAAAAAGCATGTGAAAATTCTGGTAACAACGATTGGTTTTACAATGTTGGAGCCCCGCTTGAAAGCCTCTCGAATGAAATAAAAAATAATAAATAGTACAGTTCCGTTCCCACACTGATTTTGTGTCACAATACTAAATAATGTAACAATCGAACTATACTAAGTGATGAGCAGTAACACATGACTGTTCATAGGTTAGTATGTGTTAATACAAACCCGCCATCAGTTACCATTTTTAAAGCGTGAATATACAATTTCTGTTTAAATAAATGACCTGACTTTAAATATTTAAAATAAAAAAAAACTATTATCATGATTATTACACTTAAATTATTTTGGGTGAGTTAAAGAATAATTATCAATAGGTATTCGATCAATTGTCCCTTGTAGATGCCTGAATGGATTGCTGCAGTATAAAACAATATATATGCATATGTTCGATTCGCTTGTGTATGTAACAACGTATTTGATTTTAACGAAAGAAATCTCTGTATTACTGAAAAATTATTACACCAGGGTTTTCGATATCACAAACTAGTCAAAGCATTTACTAAATTTTATCATCGGTACAAGGACATCATTCGTAAATATAAATCAACATGCAGACATCTTATACGTTCAGGTATTTCACATACAATCTTTTATGTTAATATGTTTTCTGCTCTTTGGTCGGGTTGTTGTCTCTTTAACATATTCCCCATTTCCATTCTCTATTTTATCTAAACATGTTACAACTTTTCGACGCGAAGATGGTCCCGAACTTGGTCAACAGCAGAAGCAAGTTCGATGCCTACAATAGATCACACGATGGCACCATATAGGTGTGAATGTTTGTTACGATGTTGACCTGCAGGACACTCGAAGACTACACGCTTGCTATACGATCTGGTAATGAGAGTACGATGCGTTCGAACTTGGCCACAAACTTAACGAGACCTCCCGATGTTATAAAACCTTCGGTCGACCGTAGGATTTTGATTTAATTATATCTAATTTACGTATCCTTTAATCCTTAGTTTACAAGTCATTTTATTTCCTATATTAAAGTAATTTTCAATAAAATTTTAGAAACAAAATTTGTTACTCCTTACACAATTTGCTTTTAAAAGTAACAATGCAATATGTGAAAATGATTTGTTCATCATTGCAATGTTAGTATCAATGTATTGATTTTTACTGTCACTGCTATGTGGGAATAATTACTGGATCATCCTGTCCTGCCATTGCACCGAACAAGCCTTTGAGGTGAAGTTGTAGCCCAGGTATCTTCTAATTTGCCTCCCCTCCTGGGTTCCAGTGTTCTTTGCCTTCTCATGGTAAACATCCAGAAGTACTCTGTCATTTCTCCATGCCCCCTGGGATGACATGTGGTTCTGGCCCTCCAAGTCTATCAGGTTGATGTGGTCGGCTGGATATCTCAGTCTGATGAGATTGTAAAGGATAAAAAAAGTTGTGATGATTTTTCTGCATGTCTCTGACCTCTTGTTTATGGTCCTCAGCAAAACTCAAAAGTCATTCTCCACTACACGCCTGACTCTGGAGAGTCTAAAGTTAAATATTTTCTCAAGGTTTCTCATGTTTCTGATGGAAAA